TGAGAAGGGGCCAAAGGGGTGGGGGGGGCAAGGGCCGGGGGGAAGTGCTGGGCCCGCCTCGGACCCTCCCTAGCTGGGGGGAAAGGGAGGGGAGGGGGAGAGAGCCTCTGCCCCAGAGGAAGCAAGCTGGGCCAGCCACACATCTGGGCTGGGAGCGAGGAGTAGGGAAGAGAGCCAGGGCTGCCACACATCTGCCTGGCCCTCCCCGGCAGCCAGTGAGGAGCCAGGGCTGCCTTTCCCCAGAGAGGGGGGTTGGCAAGCTTAGCAAGCAGTGGGCACCATCCCTAGTTATAGTTAAAAAATCATTTTTTAATTTATTTTTAACTGTTAACAGTGTTTGCTTAGTGATACAGTCTTTGCAAATATATGATAACCCTCTTTTCCATGACCTACTAATTCTTCATCAGAATTCAAACATTCATCCCGATACTAATAGTTTGTTACACTTTAATGACATTTCGCACACCGACTTACACTCATTACTGCTCATGGCTTCTTCAAGTTGAATGTAGAAATCAGATTTCTGTGCTAATATTCCAAGGTTCACCACCTTTGACTAAACAAAAAAAAAAAAAAAAAAAAAAAAAAAAACCATCATCTGCATCTCTTGGAATACAACCACTATATAACGCATGCTTTCACAACTAAGATATTTGTCATAGATAGGTCAAAACATTTGAGGAATCTGGATATAATTTCATTTATATAACTATATAACAGAGTGGGTGCTGAAAAAAATGTATTAAAATTTTTTCTTCACAGAACTTTTAAAGTATGCCAGAGGTACATTGGAAAAACATAAAATTTTCTTAACTATTCATTTTTTCCTTTACCTGCTGTTCATTTTCTTGCTTAGCAGCAGCATATCGTGGTACGAGGCCAGGAACTGTTGGAATGAAGAATGGAGCGGATTTGGGAACTTTCGGTGGCTCTTTTGGTTTATTCTTTTTCTGTTTGAACATTTGAATTAAAATAGTCAGGTTTATCATAAAATCTTTTGATTTTACAAATTTTTTTGAAAGAAACCCTTATTGGGAAGATAACCAGGACTGTTAGAATCATGAAAGACTTCTATATTGGGGAAATTTGTATTTATTAACATTAGGAAGACTTTTGAGAGAACAGCTACAAAATCGTTCCAGGCATTATGGAACGCATTACGTTTTTTCCTAATGATAAATCCTAGAGTAACAGTGAAAACAGAAGGAGGGTCTTTTGGACCAGTTGTCTATGCCTGATGCAGCTCATGGGAGGGGTATGTAAAGCTCTCTTTATGACACTTTCCATCCATCTCTCTTCCAAGCACTGGTCTGGAGGCACAACTTAGAGGAAACTCATAGGGGTATTTAAGTTGGTCTCACTGGAAAGTGCCTTTAAACAGGCCGATTTAGTAGCCACAGTATCTGCTCGGCCAGGCCAGAGATGGCAACAAAGCAGTCATTAGCCAATTCCTACACCAATCAAGGACTCTAGCAACTGGTTAAGTCAGCTGTCTGTGTTGTACTACCAGAACTGTCCAAAGAACGCGGAATAAAGACCACAAGATCTGGCCCAGAAGCCACAATAATAAATGCTTTCAGTGTGAGGGATACATGTCATATTACCCTGATAATATCAAGACTGAGGAGGTTTTTCCATCTTGATTCAGAAAGCGATGACAGGGTCACTAGCTGCTTTTCCAATTGCTCTGGTGAACTATAGACAATCATTTCATCACTTGTTTCTTCATCTCCTGTGATGTCCACGTCTTTCAGAGACAAATTTCAGTTATAAACATGTAAACCAAAACAAATTATATCCACAATGATGCATGAAGTTTACATAAAAATATATTTGAGTTAAATATTTTGTTGAAATTAAATTTTAATACAATGACAACTATTATAGGTAACCCCAGAATCAGGGAAACTTCAAAAGATTTAAAAAAATTGTTCGTGTACCAGTCTGACCAAATTTAAATTTGAGATCAGTTGCACTGGGTCAAAATAAAGTTAATTTGACAGTTTCTTCTAGTTTCTTGATTACTATTAAAATGTTGTCAAGATGAACAAAAATATTAGAACTGAATATTTGATGTTACCAGCTGTGTGATATATTATAATAATAAAAGTGACTGGCTATCACAGGTACATGTGCCTTTAAGAAACACCTGTTTAATCCAAATACATGCTATGGTAGCAAACTAATTCATGATGGCTGTGTGTCGAGAAGCAGATGCAGCAATAGAGAAGAGCAAGGGAAATGTTCACTAATTATGAGACTTCGCTAAAAACATTTAGACTATGCATCTACTAACGTGTGTACAATCTTTATAGAACTGTTCTCACAGAAATATGCATACAACTGCATGCATGAAAGTAAAGATGGTTTTAAGATCAATGTACTGTAAAGAGATTGGGTTCTGTCCCTATGCCTGCCTCAGTCTCCTTATGAGACTGAGCAAACCACTGGATTCAGAAGCAGGAATTAATTTTAGGGACAAAGGTCAGTGAATTACATTTTAAGAGAGTTCCAGAGATGGTAGAAAAGAATCCTTATTATAAATCAAATATTTTCTGTTAGTATGAAGAAATTGTGTTAGAAAATACCAAATTGTACATTGAGAAAATAGAGTCTGCTATTTTAGGTTCATTACACAGCCAGGAATAAGTCTCCTTTATCCCATGATTACCTTGGGCAGGACAAGTTCCAGGACGCATTATTACAGAAGGCTCATAATCTGCTGGAAGTGGCCGTAAAGAGACAAGTGAATACAAGGAACGGTTAGACCTGAATAATTGAGACAGACATGACATATTAAAAATGAGAACTTTTTTCTGACAAACATGGAGGATTATTTTGAATAGTGTTTTTAAGATTTGATATTACTGCAACATAAAAAAAAAATCACTGACTTTCTCTCTGAGTTAGATTAATCTCTACAAAACTAACAAAAAAAGTCAAAACTTAGAAAAAGTTCTCTCTACAATATTGGTAGAAGTGAAAAATAAAACTCCCTGCAAAAGCCATTATTATAAATGTCATTATTTCTATTATAAGGTAAATTGTAGCACATTTTAAACTTCTTGTTTCCTAGAATGTATGTTTATGATGTTGATCAGAAGACAAGATTTGGGATTCTCATCTTTAACTATTGTGTCATTTTGGTTAATCTCTGCAGTTTATCTGTAAAAGATAGAATTAGCCATGTGAAGAGATTGTTAGGTTTAGATTTGTAAAGTACTTGAACACTTTACAACAATCCTTGTATAAGTTTGTACACTGCTTGTACAAGGATTTCCCAAACTATTAGTATTATCAAATTGTAATTATTTCCCTAATTTTTATCACCAGCAGAAATGTGTGGGAGAGAACCTTATGACAAATTAGTCTTAATCTACACTTAAAATGTTTTCTTGGCATAGCTCTGTTGGTTAATATAATTTTTTGCTAACCTAGCTATACTGGTGTCTACATTCAATGTCTAGATACAGCTCTTATCTGCAAAATTTAAGTCTATTTGAATAGCTTAACTAAAACTGTTTTCCTAAGTGAATTAATTTATAATAAGCAAAAGTACATACTGCATTTACACTAAGGGTACGTCTAGATTACATGCCTCTGCCAACAGAGGCATGTAAAATAGGCTACCCGACAGTCAATGAAGCTGGGATTTAAATATCCCCAGCTTCATTAAAATAAAAATGGCCGCCATGCTGTGCCGGCTCAGCTGATTGTCAGCACAGCACGCGAGTCAAGATGCAGATCGGTTGACAGAGAACACCTTTGCTGACTGCTCCTGTAAACCTCGTTTCACGAGGCATAAGGGAGCGGTCGACAAAGGCATTCCCTGTCGGCTGATCCGCATCTAACTCACACACTGTGCCGACAATCAGCTGATGCAGTGGCCATTTTGATTTTAATGACGCTGGGGATATTTAAATCCCCACTTCATTGACTATGTCAGGTAGCCTATTTTACATGCCTCTGTTGGCAGAGGTATGTAATCTAGACGTACCCTAAGAGAGTTTGCCAGTATTGCAATATTGGCACTGTTTAAAGTGACGTACAAAAGGAGAAAAGTCTATCACAACCCTGTATTGCCCAGTAGTTCATATTGTTCCAGCCCCTCTGCCCCAATCTATCATGTCTCTCCAGTCCCCGCATCAGTCTTGTCCCGTTAATCCTGTCACCCTCATAACTCCCATAAATTCTGCCCCTCCTCCCCCCAACCTCTTCTCAGCTCTTGTGGTTCCACACCCTCCTCCCAGGCTTGGTGGAGGCTGTGCTATAGTAGGGTCTCCTCTTTTCCTTCCCTGGGCATTGCGAGGAAGAAGGGAGTAGCAAAGGAACCTTCAATTAGAATTCTGCTCCTCTTCCTCCTCCTGAAACTAAGCAGGAGTGAGGAGAAAATTTTAAAAAAGGAAAATTTCAACTGATTGTTAGGAAAAAGTGTATCTATCACTAGATATTTCATGATACAACTATCCTCCCAGGAGCGGAAGCCTGTGGCTTGAGACTTTTGAACCGGAGAAGACAAAACAATGTAGAATGTACTCTAAGAAACAAGTCTTAATTTGCAGTATGATAGAGCAATTTAAACAGCCTGTTTCCATCTCCAATTTCCACAGATATTTTCTGAATACTCATTAAAAAATGTATTATGTACTCACCACAAATAAATTCCAAGATCATCTACATGCGAGGAAGCTAGAAAGTCTCCAGTAGGAGACATAGAAATGCTGATAGCTGCTGAGTCTAACAAAAAGCAATCTATGAGGCTATGAAAAGAAAAAGATAGAGTAATGAATTAATTTTCTTAACAATATACTGTATTATGAAACCAATGTGATTTTCACATTTGCACTCAGATTATGGAAGCATACATACAAATAAGATTTTTCCAAATAATCCAATAAATTATGTGTATCCCTTAGAAGGGCCCTACACACAGTTTTAAATATTTTGAGGAACCAAGAACCCATTTCTTCAGAGTCAATTCCAAATTGATGCTTAGGGTCAAGAAAGTACATTTTATGTTTTCAGTTACAGCTACACCATGCTGCGGTTTTGGGGTCTCATCTTGCTTTCATTTTCCCCTCCTCCCACTAATTGCTTGCTTGTACCACCTTACATGACATAAAACACTGTTGGTTAGCAGCATCTCCCAACTAAACATTAAAATCAGCACAGCATTCTCAATTGTACTTGGATTCTCTCATTTCCCACCCACCCATCATAACCAGTGGAGGAGAAAAATTCAATGTTTTGGGTTTTCTGTAATAGGAAAAAAAATTGGATTTTGGATTTTTTTTTAAAATCAACAACAACTGTAATGTTGAAATAGAAAATAGAAATTAAATAGGTAATATCAGTTTAGTTTAACACACCATCACTATATAAACTCCTTATACAACTTTAATTAGTTACATTATCATGTGTCTCCCAAGACAAATATTTTTGATCCTATAGAAATTACAAATTATCAGTCCCTAACAGGGTACATATCACTTTCCACAACCTCCCCTGAAATTTAAAATCCGCACAATATAGCAAGAAGCTCCCTGCTATGCAAGGAATTTGAAGTAAGTATTTGAATGAGCATTCATATGTAAAAACATATTGAAATATAAACTCTGTACACTATATGGTGTAGAAGAGAGGGTAAATGAATCAGTGTTGTAGTGAACAAAACCGTTTTACTGTAGGATTCCTGGTAGGATTTGAACTGTAGGATTCATTTAAACTAAAGGTTTTACAGGTCACCACCATGTTTCTTCATTTTCTGAATGCTCAACTTGAGACACCTACAGTCAGATTTTCAGAAGTGCACAGGGAGTCACAACTGGAACACACACAGTGGGAGGTACAGGTGGCGCTCAGGACCCAGAAGTGGGGGGGTGAAGCAGCCAAGTGATTAAGATGGAAGACATTCTAGAGGACTGAAAGATGGCAAGGAAGGAAGGAAGATGGAAGAACTGAAAAAGGAGAGAACAAATCTGTAGCGGAGGAAGTCAGCCAGACTGTGGGATTTCTAACAGAGCTGTTCAGCTGCACAAGAGCAGAAGTATAGCAAGCAGAAGATGCCTACATAAAACCAATGTCTTCTGCAAGGAGAGCATCCATAAGGACTCAAAAAAGAAAAACAAGTACGATTAGTTAGGCTAAGAGGAACAGAAGGTGTGTTAGTGCACACTGAGATCACCAGGAAAAAAAACTTTAGTGCTACAGAGTTAAATGGATAATCCAAATTAATGTTAAATTTCACGCCCTATACAAACTCCTTTGAGTAAAAAAAGAAACCTGTTCATAGTTACAACAATTTGATTTTTCAGTCTGGAATAGCTTTTACACAAACTACACTCTGTAAGTTTCATCCAAAAGCCATGTGACTATATACCAATCAATCACAAATAGGGATGTTACATTTAAATTAACTAACTAATCAAATAATCTATAAGGGCACCTCTGCCTTTGAACTACTGGGCTCTTGCTACAGTTCAAATGCAGAAACCCTGCAGGGAGTACGGGACCAGCAGGGGACTCCCCGCTGGCCCAGAGCTCCCTGCAGGGCCTCAGCCTTTGAAATGCTGGGGCTCTAGTACATTTCAAAGCAGAGTCGCAGCAGAAGTGGTGTGAGTGGAGCCATTTCCACTGTGCTCTACCTCCCCTGTCTCCCGTGGGTGTTGGGGGGAACCTGCTTTTAAGCCAGCTTCCCTTCCCGCTTTGCTTCCTCTCTCTGATAGAGGCAGCAAGATAAGTTTCAGCTTATCGGACAGTCGACTAGTCCAGGGGCAGCCAACCTGTGGCTCACGAGCTGCATGCGGCTCTTCAAAGACAAAATTGTGGCTCCCACACCCATGGCTTTGAAAGCGTGTTTGTTTGCACGGGACGCCAGTGCAGACTTCAAGATGGCCACCTTCAAAGGGCAATGCCTGTTATGCTCTTAAAAGGGCTGCGACCGGGTCCTTTATTTTTTCCTTGACCAAACGCGGTGGCCAGGGCTTCCCCCCCAACAACTTTTTTCCCCTGCTCAGCTCTTTGTGCTATATCCATCACTATTTTGGCTCTTTGTCTGTAACAGGTTGGCCACCCCTGGACTAGTCTCTTACATCCCTAATCACAGCTAGATCATCCAATTTTGTGAATTTTAAGGAGACCATTTAAACATCCTTTAGATTACAACAGAATTTATACACACATACTTAAAGCGTGTTCACTATAAAACCTGTAAAAGGTAAGATTTCATTTGATTCAAAAAATCAATGATTTTTCTTAAGGAGAGTTTCAAAGCTAGCAAGTCTTTACCTGTGTAAAATAGCTCATATCTAAACACTTTAATTTACTAATTCCTAAACATACTAAGGGGAAGTGAGATCTGTAGCTGAATTTTGAATGACCATCACTGCTCTATTTCAATATTTTCATCTGACATACAAGAGCAAAACCATTCCTCTAATTTCCAAATTCTATTAGAAATTAATTAGGATAATTTGCCACGTACTTAGTTCAATTTCATATTCATAAAAATTTTGCTAAAAAGATCTAAATATTATATTCATCCATTAATTTTCTGGTCTCTTTAGCTTGAGGCATGACTTTCAACAATCTATTGACCAATCTTTCCATAATACCACTCGTATCGTGTACTTTACATGAAAGCCCTTGTAAGGTAAGTACTTTTTAGTTAATACCGTCATAGCAACAAAACAACTTAAACCTTTGAGAAATTAGGAGCCAGCTGCAGTAAGAGAACCCTTGCTGTTAAAAGAAACCTACCTTACACTAAGAGTAAGTCTACACAGTGAAGAAAAACATGTGGCTGGCCCAATTCTTAATGCCCTCCTGAGGTCTCTTCCAGCCCTATGATTCTAATTCAGCTTCACAGGACTCAAGCCAGAGCCTACAACCCTGTGTGGTGAGACAGTTCCAGAGTTTGGGCTGAAGCCCAAGCCCAGAAGTCTACACAGCAATGCAAGAGCCCTGCAAGTCTGAGCCTGAGATGAGCCAGCCACAAGTTTTTCTTCGCTATGTAGACACACCCTAAGAGATCAGCCCAGATCAGGAAAGAACAAAGGGAAGCTGAAGTCACCTATGTGTGCACCTTCCCACCTCCTAAATTATACTTTATTTACAATATTAACAGTGTCTGATACCACAGATATAACAACAGACAATCTATTTTATGATTTTTGAATTTACAAAATGTTTTACAGGAATCACCATTCAGGAAAGTAAAAATGACTTCAACCTTTTCAATTGTACATGTACTTGAAAGTGAAAAAAACAAAATGCCCTATTTATAATTTCACTATCAGGCTTCAAACATGGTCTATACCATGGTCTAACTTCGGAAGCCCCAGGGGCCACAATGATACTCAGAGCACATGCCGAGAGCCGCAACTTAAGTGTGGTTGCATATACATGCAAATATATATGCAAATATATGCAAACAGCTTCTTTCACACTGATGGGCATGAATATAAAGATTAAGGCAAGATTACACAATACATAGGCCCCATTGAAGTCAGTTCTGCTGGTGTTAATAAAATGCAATATTTACCTGATTTCCATATGACAGCACTTTTAATGAGCAATGACAGTCTGGGAATTGAACTACTAACACGCATATCAACAGAAGAGCATTATATTGACTACTTTTTTGTTCTGGATCCCACTCATGAATCACGTGCTGAGCCCCATGTAAACCCAAGCTGCACGGTGGGCTGCAAACAAATGGGCTGCGTGTTAAGTAGCCCTGGTATATACTATAATATAATTTAAGTGATATATAATTTTCTATAATTTTATAAGAGCTTCATAAAATGGCTATAAAAATTACTAATACCAGACAAAACTAGTCAAATATGAATGTTCAGAAAATATCAACTTTTTTAAACTAGTGTAGGTTTGTGGGAAATCAATGCAACAAGTCTTTTTTTGTGTGTGTGGTTTAATGCATGAAATACACATACAAATAAGAACTCTGCTATAGTTCTTTAATTGACTTACCATCCGGATGGGAGGTCCCAAGTCTTAATGGTGCAATCCATTGATGCAGTAATTAGCCAACGGCCATCAGGACTGAAAGCCTACAATAATTGTACACCTAAATTAATATATTAGAATTTATGCATCTTGCTTTAGTTCATAAAAGACTGCACTGATAGTTTCATACCAGTCCTAGGTAGACATGTCCACAAAACAAAATTAATAGTCTCTGATTAAAAACAGACTTAAGGCTACAAAAACAAGTTTGTAACAGTGACCCATATTATGTTTGTGATAGGGACGTTAAATTTAGATGAATTAACTAATCGAATAGTCAATGGGATTTCCATTGACTATTCAATTAGTCTATAAGGGGGCCTCTGCCTTTAAACTGTAGCAAGAGCAATGCCGGGCTCTTGCTATAGTTCAAAAGCAGAAAACCCCAGGGAGCGTGGGGCTTCCTTTAGAAATGTACAAGAGCCCGAAGGTCTCTTGTATATTTCAAAGCTTGAAGCACAGCAGGGCCAGAGGGGGAGTCCCCACTGGCCCCATACTCCCTGTGGTGCCTCAGTCTTTGAAATGTACAAGAGCCCTAGTGGTGATCTTGTGTATTTCCAAAGGAAGCCCAACAGAGAACACGGGACCAGAGGGGTACTTCCCCACAGACTCCACGCTCTCAGCAGACGTTCTGCTTTTGAAATACAAGGGTCCCACTGGGGTTCTTGTACATTTCAAAAGCAGAAATGCAGCAGAAGCAGCACAAGTGGAGACTCCCCACTCACGCCATTTCCACTGTGCCTCTACCTTCCTGTCCCCCGCAGAGCTTGTAAGCCAGCTCCCCTCAGCACTGGCTCCTCTAATAGAGGAGCAAAGGGGTGAGAAATGACTGGTCCCATCACTAGTCAACTATCTGATAAGTTCCTGCTTATCAGATAGGCGACTAGTCTCTTACATCCCTAGTTTGTGGGCCCTTACTTTTGAAAACACAGATTTAAATGTACCACAAAATGTAAAAGGAAAAAAACAGATGTTGACTTCAAAGATGTACTCATCTCTTGGTATTTGGAATAAATTAGAAGCTGAATACAAATCCTGACACGATTTTAAAAGCAAATATTTAATTCACATCAGCAAGTGAATCTTATGTGCCATAACAATAAACAAATAATAAACAAATATGTTACAACAGACGCTAACAATTACGGTTTATACTTTTTTTTGTAGGAATCTCTTGTGCTAATACAGATTTTGAAGTGATGGGTAGCTACCCAGTTGCTGCTCTCAATGTCAGCCTGGCCTCAAATATCTGTTGTTACTTCAAAATGTTCATGTTATTAAGAACAGAAAATAAGGTTTCAAGCATTTATTTTTAAACCAGCTGTCCTTCAGTAATGAAGTTACAATAAAATTTCAAGTCTGTACTGGCGAGCTAAAATTAATATATCAGCTTTAACACATTTAAATCAGCAATTAAACATTAATTTTAAACATTAATTCTTAGGACAACATATTCATATGTATGGTTACAGTTTCCAAATGATTAACCCTGAATTTGTTGCCTTTTGTAGCAGAACAAGGGGGGGGGGGGATTCAACTTAAATCACACGTTTATATTTTATCTTACATATATACAACAAACCTATCACCCTCAAATTGCATTAACTTTTGTTGCAGAGGAGCACACAAATAGGTATATAGTATATACAGTCACCATGTCATTAATCTGGCTGTGGTGTCCTGAGAACTTCCTGACGATCCTTCTTGTTTCTATATCCAAAATACTAATCCCAAAGTCATCCGAGGCAATTCCCAGAATACCACTAGAAAGAATTAGTAGTACATATTGTCTCAGTTAATATTCAGAGATAAAACAGACAAGCATATCCTAATATTATCCTATAAAATGTTATGCTCTATCAAAATTTATTTACTAGGGAAGACAAATTTCCATTTCTGAAGCAACATAAAAATCTCCTTCTAGGACTAATAGTCATGTGTAGT